CGTTTATTTTATCCCAAGGTCCAGGAAGATAAATGTCTCCCCTTATTTTATCCCAAGGTCCAGGAAGATATAAAGTCTCCCCTTATTTTATCCCAAGGTCCAGGAAGATATAAAGTCTCCCCTTATTTTATCCCAAGGTCCAGGAAGATATAAAGTCTCCCCTTATTTTATCCCAAGGTCCAGGAACCCTCTCTTTATTTTATCCCAAGGTCCAGGAAGATAAATGTCTCCCCTTATTTTATCCCAAGGTCCAGGAAGATATAAAGTCTCCCCTTATTTTATCCCAAGGTCCAGGAAGACTCTCTTTATTTTATCCCAAGGTCCAGGAAGATATAAAGTCTCCCCTTATTTTATCCCAAGGTCCAGGAAGATATAAAGTCTCTCCTTACTTTATCACAAGGTCCAGGAAGATATAAAGTCTCCCCTTATTTTATCACAAGGTCCAGGAAGATATAAAGTCTCCCCTTATTTTATCCCAAGGTCCAGGAAGATATAAAGTCTCCCCTTATTTTATCCCAAGGTCCAGGAAGATATAAAGTCTCCCCTTACTTTATCACAAGGTCCAGGAAGATATAAAGTCTCCCCTTATTTTATCCCAAGGTCCAGGAAGATATAAAGTCTCCCCTTATTTTATCACAAGGTCCAGGAAGATATAAAGTCTCTCCTTATTTTATCCCAAGGTCCAGGAAGATATAAAGTCTCCCCTTACTTTATCACAAGGTCCAGGAAGACTCTCTTTATTTTATCCAAAGGTCCAGGAAGATATAAAGGGTGCCGTCCTTTTATTCCAAGGTCAAAAAGTATAAGGTCAGTCATCATTTTATCTCTATGTCAGTAAAATATACAGTTATCTGTCATTCTATTCGTAGACCAAGAAAAGTATACAAAAAGTCGTCATTTTATCCCAAGGTCAAGGAAAGTTTGAGGTCAGCCATCAGATCATCCCAAGATCAAGGAACATATAAGGTCTGACGTCATTTTGTCCCGTTGTAAAGGAAAATATAAAATCTGTCATCCTTTTATCTTGCGGTATTAAAAGAAAGTAAAAAGTCTGTTTTTCATAAAAAAGAAATATTTTGGCTACAATATTTTAATGTGGCGTAGTTTTAGTAGCTTCCATTTTGAAGTCATGTGACGTTTTCTATGATCACGTGAAGCTTGTAAAAGCAGTGATTTGAGCGAAGCCAATCAAATCGCTGTCAGGATTTTGGCAAAAATGTAAGGCCGTCTTATCATTCTATTTTTAGTTAACAGAAAATATAAAGGCAGTCATGGTTTAGCAAAGTAGAAGGGCCACCCATGATTGACGCTTTAAAAGAGATAGAGATTGTGGTTAAACAAGACCGGGTTGATATCATGGAGTTTGTTTAATACAGCTTTGTCCAAGTTTGATTAAACTTTCAGATGATATAAGTTTACTAATAAGAGAGTTTTAAAATCACTTATTGCATGGTAACAACAAATATTCTGTTCTGGTTGATAATGTGATAGCTCTCCTGCTTCAGCATAGAGACTTTCTACTGACGATTTAGGCCAAACGTAGGCTTGTTGATAGATGTATATATCATCGAGCATTTATAAAATCAGTTTCCAGGTTGAACTGTCAACTATTGAACCATACTTTAATTTTGATAGGATGAAACTTCAGAAAATCTGTATTATTTAAATAAATAAGAAAAAATTTAAATGCTAATAAACACCTATATTGTACAGTTGGCCCTTAGTCTGTCGATTATTATTTTTTATTAGCATCCCTATTACTTAAAAACTTAAACAGAAACCATAAACACTTGATGAATAATTTTCTTTTGGTTTCTTACTTAAACATTGTTTGACACAACAGGAAACAAATAGGGGAATGGTTCATTGTACGTTGTTAAAGCGGCCTTTGGCTTTTCTTAAGGTTCAATATGTTTTGTTTAGATTAATCGTCAAATAAAAAAAAATAAGGTGGAATATGAAATATGCCGACGATAAAATACATAAACGATAAGGACCCCCCGAAACCTCTAATCTACCGGTCCGCGTAAAGCGGACGATTCGTTTCCCGATCTCTCTTCTATTTTTGAAATGAACATCACTCACGGTGCATATCCATATCGGTACCCTCTTTGCGAAATCTGCTGAAACGGTACCGTATTTGCACATGCATAGGACATTCTCTGCTAAAAACAAACCAGCGATGGATAACAATCCAGTAAAATTTCACTGTAATAAGGAAAGGAGGGAAGACACTACCACGGAACACTGGAATGTTTTATTTATGTGCTGATTATTCATGTGCCCGTTTTTCATGTACTGCAACTTCACAATAAGCAACAAAAAATCGACATGTCTTGTCTCGTCCATCACCTCACCTGCTTTTATTTGCGTGAATGGTTAAGTATGTAATATTTACATAAAAGTAAGAAATATAACGATTAAAGCAAATAAAAGCATATGTCGTGCCTTGAGGGTACCTATGTGTTAAAAAATGAGAGGGTACCTGTGATATTAAAATTCAAATGAAGAGAGGTAGCCCGTGCAGCTGCAAAACCGAAAGAAGGGTGTTTTTATGAATTTTACATTTATTTTTGACAATATACTGCCATTTGTCCGAATATGATAAGTAAATGAACAAATTAAATATGTATAATGCATATATAATTAAGCCACAGGTTCATTTCAGCCCGAACAGTATGTCGAGGTGATGGACTATACATGTTTTCTAAGTGTCATCCCTCCTTTCCTTATTACAATGAAATTTTACTGGATTGTTATCCATCGCTGGTTTGTTTTTACCAGAGAATGACCTGTGCATGTGCAAATAGGGTACCGTTTCAGCAGATTTCGCAAAGAGGGTACCGATATGGATATGCACCGTGTCACTGTGGCGTAGCTCTCGAAGCAGGCTTTCGGTGATATGATGCACTTCGTCAAGATAAAATTACTGAAATATTTATTTTGAAACAATACAGAATTGTCAAAGTCAAGCAACGATTTTCTATCTGATATTATTAAAAAAAATTTAATGATACAAACTTAGATCTATTACCGGGCACTTAAAAATCTTTTATTCATATTTTTTATTTTCCTGATCCAACAGTCAACCATACAACAAGGTCATTAAATTGTGGCTTTTTTAAACAGTCATATAAAGTCAAATGCTGCAGGAAAAAAATGGTTATGATAAATTATATTATTTATATTCAACAACTTGTATATACTTGTGTCTCCTCGGATCATCTTGTGTTGAAACCGCATTCTTACTCTCGTTTCAAGTACACGGTAGTTTTATAGTAAGAGCGAAATATACTGGAACAATAGAAACAATTGAAGAGAATATTAAATAAACAGAAGGATACTTTATCATAAAATTGTATATAATTGTAAAAAAAATAATACTTTGTATATTAGCCATACCTGAACACGTTAAAATATAATTATTTTTAAAGATATAATGTAGGCCTATAATTGATGTCATTTTTGTGTTTGCCTATATCTACTTTTTTCTGTTCTTATCAGCCAAGGGAGAGTTGTTTACACCGCATAGAGCTCATCAGCAAAGTCATGACAATTATCACTTTCATCAACATTGTCATCAACATCATCATCAGAAAAATCACCATCATGTTTATCATTAATTAAAACATCAACGGGTCCTTCATCATCAGAACATCATCACCCCCATAATCATCATTAAAAAATCATCAACACCCTCGCCGTTAATGAAAAGTCATCTGCATCAGTATAATTGAAATCAATATAATCGTCGCATGTATCATCATCATTACCATTATCACAATCATCATCATTACCATCATCATCATCATCTTCATCATCGTCGTCGTCGTCATCATCATAATCATCATCATCAAATCATTATTACCTCAATAATCATCATCAAAATTATCACTTTTCCATCATTATCATCATCATCATCCATCAGTATCAAAATCATTAATATCACCATCATCATCATCATCATCATCACCTTCATCACCATCATCGTAACTATATTTATTATTGCCATCAAATCTATCACCATCACCAAATTTTCATTTATTAAAAAATATTCATCACCTTAATCATCATTTTCATCAAAATTCATGATTATCGTCACTTTCTTCAGTATTTTCATGAGTATTTTCATCATAATCATCATCATCATAATCATCATCATCATCACCACCATGATCTTTATCTTCTTTTTCATCCTCATAGTCATCATCATAATCATCATCATCATCATCATCATCTTCTTCTTCTGCTTCTTCTTTTTCATCATCATCATTTTCTTCTTCATCATCAGCATTATCATCAGCAGCATCATGATCATCATCACCAGTAACAAAAAAACATAGATTAATTAACAGATATTGGTTAATATTTTCTATCGTTTACATTTTACACAAAAGTAAAAGGGCACAAGAGAGGAAAATCACTGGACATATAAACATTTTACTGATTTGTGTTACAAAAAAAAAATCTTTATGAAATTGTGATAAAACATTTTTAATGTAAGAAACCCGTTAGTCACTTGGTTATAAGGAGTATTATAGTATTCCTTGTCTAACGGCCTCGACTTTTTTTTAGGACAAACGCTTCCATGACTTCTAATCCAGTCACCTCTCTGGCGTGGGTTCGATCCCCGGGAGATGCTTTGGTAGTTTAGCGCGGAGGAAGGTAGTCTAGTACTGGTGTAACTCTCAAGGAACGATGGTTAGGAAACTACCCGCCTATATGACTGAAATACTGTAGGGAAAAGGCGTAAAATGAAACAAACAAAACATCACTCGATGTCGTAATAGAAAAAACAACAACAATATATCATTCATCATATAGAAATGTTCATTCTAATTTACTTAATAGTATATCAACATTTTTGTTTCAAATACTTTTTTTATAACAATATCCAAATGATACATTTCTATTGATTTTATCAATATTTGAAAAAAAAAAATATTGGAAATGTGCCCACTGTAGACAAATCCGCTTGTGAAGAGGGTGGATAAGTGGGCCAATCAAAGTAGTTTAAACAGGAAGCATTGTTTTCGTACTCAGTTGTAACTAAACTTTCACGGTGTTCATGATACAAAAAAAAATGCATCACGTATCTTTTTGGTATTTCAGGCTGTTGGTTATAGCTGCAACCGGTAAGAAATTTTTTGATAGAATTTCAATTTTAGTAATATTTTAGCGAGTATGCATATATAGTATTTTGTTTGTTTTGTCATAATGGCGACGTTTCAGCTTTACATGTGGTCTTCCGTGCATTATTTCGGGCACAAACAGGCACCTGAGTAGAACCGCCGAGGTTCCGTAAGAATGGACTCTTTAACTAAATCGTTTTGGAAAAAAATGATGAAAACTTCGAGAGGAAGTATACAAAGTTGTCATTAGCCGCAAAATACTTGGTTCGTTGGTTTTATTAATGCGATTTATTCATTTAAGTGCAAATTTATTTTTATATTTCATCATTTATTACATTTAAATGTATTCAATTTTTACCTATAACTGAAAGGGGATAAGAACGAAAGAGAACTTATATACTTTCTTTTCCTGATTTTGTCATTTAATTTGTGAAAAATCCATTCAGTATTTAAAACAATATTGACGATATATCAACCCGAATATATTCCGTCGTGCAAAAGAAAAAATGCACGGGTTCTCCAGCCAGTATTTTATCTAAAGAATGTATCTTGGCGACTCTTCGTGGTAGTTTTTACTCTTGGGCTCATACATCGGATGCCTTTTTATGCACAATTTTCGACACCAGCAGATAACTTACTTGAACCGCCGGTCACACGAAAGAGACTAAGAGCCTGATGGAGCTCGAATCCATAGCGATCAAGTGGTTTGAAGTCAATGACCTTATATTCACTCGACAATTGAGGACCTTAATTGTGTTCATACATATAAACCGAGTAGAGCTTTATCTATAATTTGAAATTTAGATATTGATTAGTATTTTAAGTTTAATTGTCCTTGATTTTTATTTTAATTTCCTTGGTACAAACAATAGTTTATACAGCAATATGTTTGACATAGCTTTTGGTACCCAAATAAAACTCATGATGTAAATTCTATATATCCTTAGAAATAAAATGGTAATAAAGACATTTGCCTGGGTTATATAACGTAGTATAAACGTCTGTAAGGTTATATAACCGAAGACGCCAGGCTAGGGTATGCACTTAACAAACTTTTGCTGAAGGCCATATTATTCAAACAGTTTTTATAACGAAATTATTAGTCCTGGGTATTTAAGAATTGATTTCTTTGATAAAGGTTGAGAATTGATTAATAAATTTGCTGCAGACATGTATTTATTTACACGTCAATATTAACGTCATATTTAATATCGACGTTACAAACATGCTTAATTGTGTAACAAAATGCGAAAACTTTGTCTAGGTGATATAATAGGTTTGCAGGATTAAGATCGAATTTAGGCATTATTATTATTATATATATATATACTTTTTTTTGTAATACAGTTACATATGTACTGGCCTTTATGTGTTACACCTGCGTTGGCTGTGGGGATCCGTTTGACGAAAGCCAAGCCAAACAACAATCCTGTCACGGAACTTGTATGAAGTTAATTGCAAACGATAGTAAGTATGACACAAATGACGTCATAATACTACATTACGTTCTAACGAGATTCGGTCAAAATATCCATCCATTGATTTATCAATAGATAAATCCATCCATCCATTTATCAGTCCATCCGCCAATCCATCTCCAAATAATGTCAAAACCCTCGCTGGTAAGTATACATCCATCCAGCCGTCCTTACTCCCTCCCTTCAAACATCAGACTTCAGACTTGTAAAGTTCCTTTTAAAAATTACTTCGGAAAATGCGAACTTGTATACCTACATTTTTAATTGTATCCGTGCTTAGCAAATAATATGCCTCTTAATCCTGGCCTTTATTTAACAAGTATACATATAGATCGTAACAACTTACCAAACATGGAAAACAGCAACAAATTTACAAGTCCGTATCTTCCATTGCATACAATACATATGCAAGTTTTCTCACTTATAGATATCTATCTGTACCTGAAATACGTATACAAATGAAATGTAAAACTCGAATACAGATAATAGAGTTTAAGAAAACGTGTTTTCAGTTGTAGAACTACAAGAGTACGTTTACACAATAACATGCTTATGACAAATGTAGATTCACAAAGTCTTATAGATTATAACATGGCTCACCCCCAGTCCGACTAGTCATGCCTTGTGTAATGGCAATTCCGTACATGGACGAATGGAAAGGCATTTTTCCAACAGAGGAATCCGCTCTTTCCTTTATGTACAATCTCCATGTCCAAGAACTCTTTCTAATAACCTGTTTTTAATATTGATGAACTGCTTGTAACTGGCAGGGCACGGTTGTAATGGTTAAATCCCGTTTCGAGTAGTAAAGGACCGGTTTGTAACAAGAAAGACACGTTTCTTACATTAAAAGACACTTTTCCAAAAGAGAATAGCCAAAAATCAGCGAACTGATTCGGACCTTTGTCCAAGTCCTATATGTCCTACCGGACACACCCTTGTATATGACCAGTCTATTACACCTAATATTTTGAAAATTTAACTCAATACAGGATTGGAGCAGTACCTCTAGACGTTTTCACAAAATAGACAAATATCGTTTTTTCGCTGATTATAACATTTTTTATTCATTATCATACAAAAAACAAAAACGTTATGAAAAGATGAATTAGACCTTTTAAAGTTCATTCCGTAAGGTGGAAAGGCGATATTTTAGCATTTAAGCGTCTTGTCCGGTATGTACTGGAATACAGTATTAAGTGTGCTCCAAACCTTTTTTTTCAGTCACGCTTATTTTCAACGCATGAAAACTGCCTCGGCTATTATCTATAATAACCGGACTACCACGTGGTTTCAGATGTAAACAGAAACAGAGATAATGAAAATTGACATCTAATGTCTGTTCCGGTACTCTTATGCTTGAAAATAAGTCTGACAACAATTTGTAATTTAAATATGCCCACTGATGTTCAATTTTAAACAAATCCGACTAAATGTTAACAGGTTGGTTTTTGTACTTTCGGTTTCTACAGCCATAATTATAAATATATAAATAATGTATTGTTTGCTTTTGTACCTATGAATTCGCTAATTTTAGGTGGACTTTTACTACATATACTGGAAAAAAACTTGTCAACAACTCCCAGCATTTAATTACTATTTGTTTACATGTTTAGTTTCTTAGCGTAGGTTAGACCGAAATACCGCATCCGTTCTGTGTATTCATACTACATTGTATTGTGTTCGAAGACTGACGGAAAGGGCCGAGTAATTGCGATCGCATGAACTAGACTGGAGTTACTTCCCCTTTCACTACGTCATCATAGTAAATTAACGCAGGGAATCGGAGTAGCCATAGCTTTAGTATTGTCAATAGTATTGTAATTTCGGTACGGCAAGGAAATAAATATTTGTAACTCATAACATGTTGAATTTATGAAATGTACTCGTATATGCTCTGCTCTTACTTCGGAGTAGTCGATCATAAGGTTAAAGGGACTCCACTGAAGTTAATCGTCATAAATGTGTTTTTTTTACATTTATGTATTTTAATAGTTTGAATATGTTAAATTTATATTGTTCCTTGTTGAGGGCCTCATGGAAGATTGATATGTTTGTTCAAATGAGTTCTCTCGTTAAATAAAGTATTTATTATTATTATTATTATTAAATATATTTCTTGATAAGTGTAACTGTTACCATTTTAGGTACGTCTACACCAATTACTTGTGTGCTTAATTTATTATTTCACATTATTCCCATACTGCCGTTTTTTTACAGAATATTTTTTTCCATTTGTGCAGCATGATGACTGAAAATTGAAAAGCGTAAGAATTTCAGATTTTATGTTTCTAAGCGTTTGGACTTGAGTGAAGTTCATTTAAAAGATTTACAATAATTGAGCTATAAATAGTATAGAACCTTGTTAGACTGCACGGATGGCTGCGTGATCCGTACATGTGAACTCTCCCACTTTTAGCGGGAGACTCCCAGTATCTGCAGCAATATTTTCAAACATTTTTCTTAAAATAAGGAGTATTTTCACAAATTAAGCCTCCCTATTTTTGATGTCAGAACTTCCTTCTTTGTTTATTGCAAATTCTAAAATCTCCCTCTTTTTCAAGAAAAACCTCCCACTTGAGCATTGAAAAAAAAAGTTCACATGTATGGTGATCTGGTTCTTACAATGGTGACAAAAGATTTATCACTTCCGGTGTTAATTTAACAGATATTAAATAAATTTTATTCTTTTTTGAGCAGCTGTACAGAGACATTGTATGGGAATGCCATTTGACGAAAAGTGTAGCAAGGTAGAAGGCACAGAAACCTGCTTCTGCTCCACGGATTTATGTAACGGATCCGACAAAAGAAACATTTCACTAATTAGTGTGATAATGTCTTTCATCGCATTAGTTTTGTTGAAGTAATGAACGATGATACAAAGTGCATTCCCCACAAAAATACAACGATAAAGGGACATATTACTTTTATATAATCTATAAATAGCTTTGAAATGCCCCTGATAGGCTTACAAGTAAGTTTTTGTAAAAAATAACAGGTCAATATAAAAGTATATTCACAACAGTTTTTCTTCTTCTTAAAATAGATTTTCTGGAAAGCCCACAAAAGACGCGTGCTATGACGTGACGTCAAGCTAAGTTTGTTTCTATTATTCTGAAAAAAAAAAAACAACAACAAAAACAAACAAACAACAACAACAACAACAACAAACGTCGGGCAACTTGCAAAAAAAAAAAATATCAACCTAGTCTATTTTAGGTACATTGTACCGTCTTTACATCTTTAAAAGACTTTAAGAATTTAGCGTGCCAATGCGCATTTAAATACATACAGGGCCAAATTATTAAATAAGTTGACAAGCTGAAAAAACACCGATTTATGGGAGATTTGATATCCTATATAGAAACGATTTATAAATTATATAATAAAACAGATTTGTACTTTCCAGATAGTAAACATGATGTGATATGTACTGAAAAAAATCATTGACCTTGGCTTTCGTCTCAGTCAATATTATTTTTTTCCAGTACATATCACATCATATTCACCAGCTAAAAAGTCAATATTTGTATAATATTCACCAGCTAAAAAGTTCACATTTGTATAATATTTGCAGTGGACAATTCATAGGTATTTTTCTAATCATTGTTTATTCATATTTCTTTGTTATTTATCTTTTTTCTCTATACTCCTTTCCTTAACCATTTATAAATTAATGCCATACAAATGATTTGTTGTATTGACGAGACATCGAAACGAGACAAAAAATTCTCTGTACATAATTTATATGTGAATAAGTACTACCTATTATATACATCTAAATGAAATATTGAGAAATATTGATGAAATAAAATGTGTATTTTTCATTTTTCGTATTTTCACTGTAAAAAAATATTTTCACTGCAGTGAAAATATTTTCCGTATTTTCATTGGTATCTTGTTTGACTTATTCCTTAAAAATTCAGCCAATACACAACATTTATGTTTATGTTTAACACACGATAGCGGTGGCCTAATGGTCTGTGATTTTGTCATTCAATCCACGAACCATCGATTTCACTGTTATCTTTGGAACATGACCATGTTCCCAGGGCTGAAACAGAAACCCAGACATCGATAAAATATTTTCAGAGAGTCACTCGTCCTGCAGGACGAGTAGTTTGTAAATCCAATGTCCAGGCAACATTTTTCTACTCATCCTGCATCGGGTTCTTTTAAATTCTACTCGTAATCTTACGAGTGGACAATGAAATTTTCGATCTCTGATTTTACCCTGTATTTACAGAAAGCGGCCAGTATCCATATAAATCGAAGTTTAAAGTATTTTATTTTACAACATTTTCAATTTTATATGAGGGCCTTTGGTATGGTATATGGCATGGTCGTCTGTTCATGACCGTTCGCTTTATAATCCTCACCTAGAAACACTAGCCTAGCTGAAATGTTTTTGAATTATGACTGAGCCGTGTCACGACAAAACCACATAATGGGTTTGCGACCAGCATGGATCCATTCATTGAGTCAATCTTTTAAAATATTAAGTCAATTCAGCTCAACTTGACAATGAAAATATGAGCATAATGTCACTTAAAGCTCAACATCAAAATATAAATAAACGAGTCTTGTTAAACTAAAGAGACTTGCAGGCGAGTAAATAGAAATTGTTGTGCGATGTTTTCTCCAAAAGTCGCATTGATTTCTAATCTTGTTATTCATGTAATATAATATCCATTTAATAAAAACAATTAAAATTAGATAAAACAAATGTTTGTTATATTGTTTCTCTGCTACATTATCCAAAATTCTTTCAACGAAATTAATGTGAAGTACAATTGACCATATTTAGTTTGTTTTGTTTTTATTGGGTTTTACGTTACATCGCCACAGTATAGGTCATATCGCGACGTTCCAGGAAGATCTCAGGTGCCCTTCCGTGCATTATTTCAGGCACGAACGGGCACCTGAGTGGAACCACCGACGTTCCGTAAGCTAGCTGGATAGCTTCCTCTAATGAAAGAATCCAAGTCCCTGTAGGGATTCGAACCCACAGCGGTGAGGGGCAAGTGGTTTGAAGTCAACGACCGTAACCACTCGGCCACGGACTCCCCCATGACCATATTTAGACCCTAGGAATATTACAGTTAATTTTTATAGTTACATAACCATTTCTTGTACAAATGAAGAATCTAAAACAAAGGGAGGTAAGTTTGCAGTATTCAATTATAGAAAAAAAAAACGAATTAAAGTTCTTCGCTAAAAGCAACCTGCCTTTAGATTCAAGCTTATTTTCATGAAAATTCTTAAAATGTATTAATAAAAGATAAAATATTCTCAAGTGAACAACGAATTAGAAGAATTACATACTGCAAACAGCACATAAAAACTTATAAAGAATAGGTCAGAATGTGCAAAAATAGCCATCACTGCGTAAGTCACGCAGTACATGTAGATGAATACTGCACAGTCTTAGTACATTTCTCTCAAAGGTTGTTATTCTTGAATTTTTTTGGCTTATCTTCCGGCATGCAGCTTTGAATAAAGTAAAAATGAGCCGTGTCACGATAAAACCAACATAATGGGTTTGCGACCAGCATGGATCCAGACCAGCCTGCGCATCCGCGCAGTCTGATTACAGTCCTACGCATAAACCCTTCCAGCCTGCTGAATCTCAGTAAGGGCTTATCAGCTAGTAAATCACTATTAACTGTATATCTCCCATTAACACGTCCACTGAGTTGAGAGTTTTGTCATTATTTATTGGCCCTCTGTATTCTTATCTAATGGCCCCAACTTTGAAGGATCAAATTTCTATAGAAGATACACTCACTAAATTTATCAATGTTTTTTTCTCCTTTCTTTTGTAAATGGTAGGGCTGTGCATTGCCATTTTTTTCTGTAACGATACATATCACGATACTTGTTTTTCTAAACGATGCGATTCACGATATATATTGCATACTTTGAAAAAATGCGATGCATATTGCGATTCTTATGTTGCGATGCGATACATATCACGATACTGACTTTCAGACTTAGTACATAAAATTTGGCCATTTGTTTACAGCATAATTACGAATATAATATAGAATTATCACAATAACAAAAAATAAACTCTTTAACTTGGTTTCTGATTTTGATCTTTCAACAATTTACTTTTCTGATTACTTAAGGAATAAAGGTATTGTTAATTATACCATAACAGCAAATTGATATCCACTAGTCTAACACTAAAGACCTCTACTGTAAATATGACAGTTTAAAAATTTCAGTCTTATTTATTATCGAAAGAATGAATACCTTCAAACTGTAAGTATGACCTTAACCTTGAAAGTAGGGATAGGGGTCTTAGTCGCGACATGTCGTCTTGATGTGGAAGACATTTATGCCTAGTTATTTTGTAATCCTTTGATGCATGACAGTCCGGACACGAATGTGTGTAACTATAAACTCTAATTTTGATATAGTGAACTTAAAAATGGTAGTGTGACCTTGACCTTTGAGGTAGGGGCGTGATAAATTGACGCGTAACACATCGTCTTGATGTGGAAGACATTTATCCCAAGTTATTTTAAAAATTCTTCCATGCATGACAAAGTTACATTCCGGAAACAAATGTGTGAACCTATAAACTTTTATTGTGATAAAGTGAAACTTCAAAATGTTAGTGTGACCTTGACCTCTGAGGTAGGGACGTAATTCTTGGACGCGACACATCGTCTTGATGTGGTAGACATTAATCCCTAGTTATTTAAATATCATTCCATGCATGACAAAGTTATAGTCCGGACAGGAATGAAGTGGGGACGCACAGACAGACGGACGTCCAGACAGACAGAGGGACGGTGCGATTTTAATATGCCTGCCTTCGGTGGCATAAAAATGTTTTTATCAACACCTATATGGGATTAGATTTATAACTCATTAGTCCTGTATTTCTAGAATTATCTCCATTTCATTTTTGAATTAGGGATTTATTGAAAATTAATATATTTCAAACAATTATCTTTGTTATTATAAATGACATCAACTCTAGACTTAAGATAATTTTCCTTTGTCATTACTCACATCATGCATGACATGGTTTATAACTCTAGTATCCTTATTTCAAGAGATATTTCCTCTTTGAACTTAGAACTTTACTTTAAAAACTTTATTTACTTTTTGCTTGTAAAAAAAAAATCACATTCATCTCTTTCCCTACTAGATTGAATGATAAGCTTCAATAATGCTTTGAATCCATTATTATCATTACTAAACATTATTTTGCTCCTTCTGAAAAAAAAGAAAAAGAATGTAAATCACTAAGGTATGATATGCCTTTAATATGAAAGTAATTTACAAAATCATTTTCATTGTGAGTTGTAAGTGATAAAAAACCTTTTTTTACTGTAATTAGTCGCCGGTAGAAACCGGCGACTATATTTGTAACAGTTTAATATTATATCTATGGTAGGAGAAGGCCTTAAAATCTGAAAATAAAAGCAAATCAATTACTGAACAATTAAGGACCACAATTATTTTTCAGAATCTTAAAAATTCAAAAATAAATTAACGTTGCTAAATGAAATGAAATATACAAATATTGACATCCTAAAAAGCAACATTACAATTTTCATAAAATGAATTAATAACGTATCCCTATGGACCAGTCATTGAATTTAGGGATACTTTTACTTTTTTCTAAGTGTCAAGCGTTGCTATTTTATGATTGATGAATCATGAATGATATTTAAAATGACACATTTAAATTATCTGGTTGTTTTATATCTTATGACACCTATTATATTTCATTATTTTATCTAATTATAAACAGATTCTCCCTGTTCTATTGTAAGAATCACGTGACTACACGTTGTATATTAGTGTTATAGAATCTATTAATAGTAACAGATTGCTGATAAGACATACTAGTTGGAAAACGGTATGGGGGCTAATTAGATGCAAATGTATAAATAATTACAAAGTTATTTTTCATTAATCAGTTTCATATTTTATATCATTAGAAAGGATTAGTACATTAAAGAATTAAATAAATTTTCAAAACCTTTTCATTTTATCTTGGTAAAGGGTTAAATTTTGCCCTTTCTGTCAATGTTCAATAGTTTAGTTTAGGTTGAACATCACAAAATAGATTTATGCTAAAGAGGCACATTTATTGAAATAAATAGTGGTAATCGTCGTCTTTGTTATATTCCGTCGATTTCCGTCGCGCAGGTTACCAAAACACATAAAAATTAAGACTAATAAAATATCTTTTTGTTAATATTTTATCGAACAGAAAGACAATTAAACGTTAACTATATCGTATGTAACGACAGGAATATTGATTTCAACTAAATAGCTTATTTTTTTTGATAGCGCAAAAAAAT